CAGCTGGCCGAGTGGGGACAATATGGTCCTTGGTTCCAGCTCTTCTTAAACGCTCGTAAATGGGTTGCTTAAAACTAAAAAGAAATTTGCATTTCGGTGTTCGGGTTATTGGGATGTTTACGGTCATAGAGAATGGGATATGAGGTAGGGAATGTAGAAGGTCTACTTTAACTAGAGAAATTGATTGGTACTAGCAACCAGCTATACTGCCAGTCTTTCATTGTCACTTCATGTCAACAAGTCGATATGTAGTTTTGACTAGAGCATAATTTTGCCAGAGTAAGTTTGGTCATAAAGGTTTCGCAATTCCCCCCTTTTTGACTATTTTAGCCTGTGACTCTGGATCAGCTCTAGCACGATTTTATTTCCTGATGATCACCATGGATATCTCACGTCTGGGCCAAATTTCTGATTTACTATGCATACGCATACAAAGGCAAAGAAACAAACTATACATGATGAACAGGGTTGCCCGCACTTCTGGCCTGTGCAGCAGTTACTTTCAAAATCTCCTTCTCCTCTTGACCGCTGTTGTCTCCAAATACTTGGTCCATCTCCTCTAGAGATCTGCCCTTAGTCTCAGGGACAAGGAAGTATGCCCAGGCAGCAGCAATGGCGCACCAGGATCCGTAAAAGACATATGTACCGAATCCAATTGACTCGAGCATAGGAGGAGTAATAACACCTGTGTATATCGATCAGCGGGACTTCTTATAAGAAAGGACTATATAAGACTTACCAACAATAAAGTTACAAACCCAGCAGGTTGCAGTTGACAGGGCTACGCCCTTCGACCGAGTCGCACTGGGAAAGACTTCTGATGGTAGAGCCCAGCCGAGGGGTGAGTATGACACTCCGTAACATAAAATGAATATGAAGGCCATAGCGACACATCCCCAACCAGCAGCTGCGTTGGCCTTCCAGTCGTGGGAGAAGATGCCAACAAGGATAGCCATGATTCCCCACGAAACAGCACCTCCAACACCACCGAAGATAGCTAGAGGGCGACGGCCAACTCGATCTATGATAAAGAAACAGATACCAACTGCAATCAGCTGAAGAACATTAAAGATACCAGACATAGTGAGAGACATCTCCTCAGACTGGCCAAGAGACTGGAAAAGAGTTGGAGCGTAGTAAATAAAGGCATTGATTCCGCTGAATTGTTGGAAGAAAAGTATCCCACAGCCCACGGCAGTTCTTCGCCAGGTCTTAGGGCTGAACAGGTCAAGCCAAGTCAAGACTTCAAGCTTGAACCCGTGTTTACCAGGGTGGCGGCGCTCAAGCACGGTTCTCTGGAATTGCGCCTCGGCGATGATGCCTTGATACTCGGTAAGAACTCTAGAGTCGTCAGGGGGAAGACGACGCATGCGAGATAGATTGCTGAGAGCATCGTCTGTGCGTCCAGCAAGTGCAAGCCATCTAGGCGAGTAAGGGAAGAAGAGAATTCCAACCCCGACGATTGTTGCAGAGACCATTTGGAGGCCAAGGGGAAGACGAAAAGCGATCTCGCCTTCCAAGTGACGAGTTCCATAGGTGATATAGAACGAAACAACAACGCCGGCGCAAATAGATATAGATTCGAGAACGAGAAGAGTGCCCCGTAGATTAGGGGGTGAGATTTCAGAGATATAAAGAGGCGCGCCCTGGAAAGGAATTAATCATTGCTCTTAAGCTATATGGGTTTGAGTCTTACCAATGCAAGAGTACCAACCCCTATCCCACCGACTGTGCGACCGAGAACAAGCATCTCATAGTTAACAGCAGCAGTTTGAAGTACAGCACCGATATTAAATATGACAACGACAACAGCCAGAGCCTTCTTTCGGGAGATCTTATCAGCCATCCAGGGCATGAAGAAACAACCCAAGAAAGCTCCAAACTCCAGCATACCAGTCATGAAGCCCTTCCCAAAGCCAGAGGCTGCCCTAGGAAAGACATTATGGAACTGAGGCATAACATTGATGATTGAAATGACGCCTTGGTCGTATCCAAAAGAGAAGCCACCTAGGGAGGCGAGAAAAGCAGCTCCAAAGACAAAGTGTGACTGTACAACGCCCCGGACACCTCCTGGGCCATAGGCGACGCTGTCCGCGAGTTTGGTCGGGAGGTCTTCTGTAGGTACGATGTTGATGTCTTCTATGGTGCCGTCATCTTCATCATAGAGAATCTTGTCATCTTTGGAAGACATGGCTAGTAATGAAAGGATAAGGGGTTTATGTGAAGCGCTAGAGGTTGGGTTACTAGTGTTGATGGAGCTGTTTGAAACGGAGAAGCACGACTCGATCAGGATATGGCAGACTTTATATACTGACAATCAGACTACAGTTCTCTGGATAAACTTCCGAAACAACTCAACGGCTGCGGTGATTGTTCTAATTCTCTTGGCTCCGAAACCTAATCCAGGTTCCATGACAGTCTTTGATCCACGCCCCTAAGCCAAACACAGGCAGTATAATGACGTTTAACTATCTCCAACGGCGCCACCCGGTCAGCCAATATCTGGAGAAAGCGAGTGATGACGGGACGTTGTCATCCTGAAGGAATACACATACAGGGGGTGTGGCTAAGATAGTGTGCGGGGAATATCGAGGATGCAAGGATTCGTCGATCGTATTATACAGACTTGACAGTGATGAGGGCTTAAGGGAACACCTCACCTTAACCATGGAAAGGTATTCGCTCCTTCTCAGCATTGTGTCAGGTCCTGTAAGCTCTGAGAGCTTGAATGCTTGGCAGTTGAATTTAAATTCCAAGTGTGTGAATGCATCGTTGGAATTGGAGTTCAAGGTCTAAAGCTCGCGGTATTCTTCTCCGAATCTTGCTTCCTCCCCAGGACGCTAGACCTTGACAGAGGATGATCGACATTTACCTAGTCGGCGGCATTGCAACACGACTCATGCTTCGACCTGGACAAGGACATGCTAGATGACCATAGCTTGCTGCATACTCTCCAATTGTCTGTCTCTCCATCGCCCTTCAATGATAAAACGGTTAAGTCCTATATAAATACAGCTTCCCGCGGAGGTGTCCCAAGTTTAAGGCGAGCTTGTGCTGAGCTGGGTGGTTGTTCTGGTCTCTTGTGAAAGGAACTCTAGTAACTCGCTTTTCCATTGGCTTCTATGATAAATTCCCGAGTGATACTACATGGTTACTATCGATTGTCGGTTGAAACGGTTGAGCATGCGTATATGCCACGGTGAGTTATGCGAACAACAGTCGGATACCTCTCCGAATACATGAGAGATATACCTCTTGTAATTGTTACAAACAGGAATTCATGAGACAATAACGTTCAGAAACTGTATCTCTCCTTCCACGGAAACTTGTAACTTGCAGCCTGGGACGGAGACTGGCGGCTTTGACTACGGTTTTCGAGAACTCGAACGAATCATATACCATGTAATAAGCTCCAATGCTTCATTGGAGAAGATGTCGATCCGCTTTACTGTACAAGGTTGGCTTCGCCGTCGCTGCAACGATCGACAAGCTCGCCGCCTATTTCCTAGCAAAGACAAGTTGGCTATTACAACCCTGACTTCAAGTTTATGGCCTGAATCCTTCAAGTTGAGGCTCATGGCCCGCGCCGAGACTTTCCAGAATAGGCAACACTTCAGCCCTCTCTTGGCACGCGCCCAGATACGGTTTACGAAGCAAGGGGTAAATTTGACCGATATCCTATTAAGGAAATTTATTTGCCAAGCCTTGACTCGGGAGCGACCTCGTCATGCCTTGCGTATGGCACTGGCCTTTTGTCATGGTGTCATGTCTGTTTACATCGATTGGCGACAACCAATGGTTCAAATCAGGGCTGGATGCGGCTCTGTTGTAATTCTGGAACCATTTTTCGTCCCCTAGGATAGTGAATAGCAAGTCTTCTTACATCAATGAATGCCTGGGAATATACCCTAGAGCTGCATGGAGTCTGTAAGAGCTTTTTTTTCGGCTAGGCCTAGATTCTCCAATAATGTTCCAATTCCCATATGCGAACCGGCGAATATCTGGATTAGGTAGATTAATTAGTGCAATGTTTCTACTCCACTGAGAAAAGAGCCAAACCGACTTGACGATAGTTCCCGCTTGTTCCCCACCAGGCGCAAAAAGGCCAAGGGTTGTGTAAGTGGCTTCCGAGGCTTTGGGACATAAATGGATTTCAATTCAATATTCTAATTCTGAATCAAACCGAAACAAACCACTGTTCCGTTAGCTTGGCTGCTAATAATGGACTGTAGCTCAAGTGTTGGGCAATATATTTCTTGGCCTCTCAATTGGTCGTGTTGGGGCTGGTGCTGGCATTGAGTCTTGAACATTAACTGGCAAGACTGGTATGACGATGAGGGAACGTTAAAGACATTCTTGGTCATCTTGTTACCCAATCCTGCCAATCCTGCACACATTTGTGTACATTCTGCCTAATACCCCTCTTTCCGATATGGATGGCAATGACATAAGTAGGCGAACCACTGGCTGCCAATAATACCGGCAACATCTTTTTTAACATTGAGATCCCCCGTTTTCAATCTCAACTGTCCTCGCCGTTGGCTCAAAATCATCTCAACTCTATTTCAACCTCCAACAACACATCAATCTCGACCAAGCTCACTCACAATGATATTCTCTCTGCCAAATCGTCGGGCGCAGTCTCACTGGGGGGTTGAAAATGAGCTGGGCTAACTCGAAAGGATGCCTTTTTCAACCTCCACCGCCAATCAAAATGTCCATCCCACAGCCTTATTTGGTACGAGATACCTTCACATTGTCCTACCTACCCAATGTGCACTCCCATTGTCTGGCCTCTTTAATCTGTTCCATTATGCCTCATCTCCCATCTCCCAATCCCTTCCCGTTTGCTTCATCACCTCCAAGGTTTCGCCACCAATCTGCCATCTCGACCTCATCAATAACTACAGCTATCATCCTCGTTTGGCTTCGTGCGGGGTGTACTAGGGCGCCTCCCATAGAACTGTAACGTCATTGGGAGGTTTGAATCAAGGATCACCATGGACGGATTATCAAACCAGGGCTTGGGTCGCGCGAATAGCGACCAGAACGTTGAGAGTAACGAAAACATCGACCTTGGCAATCCCCCGCGATGGAATGGCCTTAGCGATTGGGAGCTGGATCAGCTAGAGCAACAACAGCGTCGCGGAAGCAATCTCCAAGTCCAAACCTGGCTCCATCACCAACCGAACTCTCAGCCATCACAGAATACCTTCATCACTTCCCAATCGCTACCCCAACGCCAACTTGATAACTACAAGGTTATTGACCGTGTCGATGATGTGCTTAGAAAAAGCCGCAGGCCATCAGCTCAGGCAATTGATGCTCCCAGTACGACGGGTCCGCGCGGTCGGCACATCACCACATCGAGCAATGTTACATCGATTGATGAACGTTTGATGCAGAGGCCTAGGCCTTCAGCACAGTCTTTTCTGCCATTTGGGACCACCTCCGACAGACAAATAAGATATACCGACAATGGCAATCATGATGAAGGGAGACCTCCAGGTTTAGCAACACCTCAAAGTTCTTCTGCTTTCACTACTCTCTCTGGACCCCATACGCGTGGTACTTATAATCAACCAACTGGTCCGATTTCCCAGCAAACAGCTTGGTCAGCAGCCGGCACAGACACATCTTCGGGTTCAAAGAAAGTGCCTAAACGCCAAAACAGTCGCTCAACGGATGATGAAGCGACTAGCAAATATCAGCTCGCAAAGCGATACAGACCCGGACACAAAAGCCAATCGGTACACCGTACGTTGCCAGCATCATCTGGTTCTTCCAGATTGGCCCAGCCAGGACCAGGTGTGACACTGCAAACAATTGAGGATACACCAGCGTCTCAGCGGCGAACTCGAAATATTCAACCATTGTCAGCTTCTAGTGGCTCCAATTCATCCAATATTCGGAGAGACGGGCCAGTACGTGGGCGTCCAAACGATCTGGTCACGCCCGAAGATTTTAAAAACGCTTGCGAGACATGCTTCTTCTGGCTATTAGACCCAAAGCGCTTTTCCTCTCCTGAAAGGCATGCCTGCTCTGGCCGCAAGGATGAAATATCACACATCGTCACTCACGCCGCCGACCATCATGGTCTTATTCGTGGAAAAGATCCGAACAATCCTGCTCGCAAATACCTGACCAGTTGTCACATTTTCGACCCTTTCAACAAAGCGAAAGGAAACTGTGACAAATGCAGCTCATTGCACGAGTGGCAAGGGCAAGATTTTGCAGATCAAGAGCATCACGGCATGGCCCTCTGTTTGCGATGCTGGCGTACGTTTGGGAAGAAGGGCATGCAAGATCATATGGCTGAACCGTTATGTGATTACAATGCGGAGCAACCAAAGGAGAAGAAGGTCTGTATTCTATACACCACTTTCTGCTCTGATACCCAAAAACCCAGTGGACCTCCTAAAAACATGCCACCCCGTAAGTCGAACTATCGAAATCCGGCAAACAAATACAATCGCACCAACCCGAGACAGCAAAGCAATAACAACCAGACACATCGCCAACCTGTCTTCGAGCAGTCTAACCGTGATCTTCGCCCTGCTTCGTCAAAGGCTCCCCAAGGACAGGGGAAACCAAAGGCCTCTCCAGCATCCACAGTCTCTCCGGCGACCCAGGACCGGTCACGCATAGAGAGGCCCAACCAGTTTCCTCAACAAGCATTGAGAAACCCGCCTAATCTACAGGCAGCACCTGCACATCCTTTCTCATGGCAGCAGCCAAATGCCCAGCAACCTGCCCAACCGCCAATTGCTCTGATGATATATCCAAATACCTCACCAGAGGCTGTCGCAGGTCTGGTGAAGAACATTCAAAGAAACGGGATTCAGGAGGTCACTCAATCTCCCTACTCGTCAATGAGTCAAGCAACTTCCTTTAGAAGTCTACAAGGTGGATCTTCCGGATACAGCTTTCAACCACAACAAGCACAGCCACAGGCACAGAGCATACTTCCCCCATCTTACCAATATTCGAACTGGCAGCCATCATTCCAACAATCTTCTCCACAGACATTCTCACAGGCACCCCCTCAGAACGGCGATTTCACCCGGCTTCTTCAACCTGCATCTGCACAAAACGAGTCGTCACAACAGTCGTTTGATCCAAACTTCTTGATGCATAAAACAGCTGCGAACGAGCGTCAAGGATCACGCATGCAAGCACCAACAGGCATGAATTCGCCTATCTACAATGGAGAAGACAAAATGCTCTTTGGGGCGTGTCTCGACGCTGTAACTACAGATTCGAATTTATTCCAGGACTCGGCCATGCCAGTCAATGATAGAGATGTGGCAGTATCCTTGTCTGATATATTATCCCAGGTTCAATCCACTGCTTCAAGGGTGCCATCTACCGCTGGCGAATCCATGGGGCTCATGCAACGGTCACCTAAGGTTGAGGAGAACCTGTGGTTGGATCAGCCGCCGTTTGATGATTTCAATGACATGAATTTTGACTACATTGGGTCTAATCCTAAGCTTCAAGTCACTGTCGAGATGGTAGAGCCTCCACCTCGTCAACCAGAAGAAAAGCTTCAGGATCTAAAGCCCAACAGTCAACTGTCGCCCTTGCACCACAATGCTCTGGAGAAAGATTCAGGCTATCACACCCAATCAGGGATATTCGATGGACCGGATATGGACCTCAGCACCATGTTCAAATGAAGAAAAGCTCGAAGTATGCTTATGACCATCATTCGTTTGTTTCCCAGCGGCCCTGATCTCTTACCTTTCTGTCTTTGTTAGATATATCTTTGGCTATCTCCCTGGTTGTGCAAAAAAAAAATATGTTGAAGCATATATATCATATACTTTCAAGGACATCGCCGTTCTTTTGGTTCCTCTATTACTTCCGTCGACAGACCTACTTTTTCCTTGGTTCAGGACCTGAGTCGCGGTATAGGCGTATTGCGGGTTACGAAGCGCTTTTCTTAACGATTTTGATGAATTTGGATACGAACTCTTCATGAAATGTTCTCTTATATGGCACGGCTCACGCCAATATTCCCAGACTAACTCGTTTCTGTTCGATTATGTATTATTTAGTCATGCAATCCAGGTAACGCCAAATAAAAAGTAAAAGGTTGGAAACTCTGTCCCGGAGCCCATATTGAACAGTGTTTCCATGCCATTTTAGTCCCGTGTATCAATTTCCAGATCCAGTTGCACGCCGTTCGAGATGCCATAGTCTCCCAAGGTAATGTGGTCTTTGAACGGTCTCTCGCTCTGTCGCTTCAGGATAATCTGGCCAGGGTCACGACCGATTCGGGCGGCGACCATCATCTTCAGCTGGCCCACGGTATCAGACTCCAAGCACGGCACAGCAGCTTTCGTACCCAGTCGGTCGTTAACGTTGACGATGATCATCTCCTCGCCTGGCTGAGCTACAGGAGCCTTAGGCTTCTCTTCCTTCTTTTCCTTCCTCTCCCTTCTCTGGTCCCTATCGCCATCTCGCTGTCTGTCCCCTCCTCCATCACGGTCATCGCGGCGGTAGTTCCGATCCCTGCCATAGTCGCGATCCCGATGGCGCTGCGGTGACCGTCTGCGGAAGTCACGGTTTCTGTCGTTATCCCGACGTTCTCCCTTCCATTTGAAGCCACCTGATCCTCTTGGTCTTCGCGCTGGCGATCGCGATCGATCTCGGGGTCTGCGTGGAGGCGAATCTCTGCGGTCGCGGTTGTTGTTACGATCGCGCGACCTGCTGCGGTCTCTGCGCTGGCGACGTTCATCATTCTCTCTGTGTGTATCGTCGCGACCTTTGCGATCGTCCTTGTCCTTGGGAGCAGGGGATTTTGAGCGAGCTCGGGGCTCCTGGGGTGATGAGTCTGTCATAGTTGCGAACTTGCAGCCGCCGTTGCGACAGCTATTATTCTTGCAGAGACGGTGCCGATTGCAAAACTTGAATGCGCGGTGCGTCAAACAGACTCTTTGTGCTATTTCTGGGCGTATAGACGGGGATGAAAGCGCTGAGGGTGGATGATTTTGAGATGTAGGAAAGTGTTTGAAGAGGCTGAAGTTGATTGCGACGTCATGACCTGTCTTTTCGAGAAAGACGGGAGCTCCACTTTTTGGCAGCTCTAAGAGATCTGGAATTCTCCCTATTACAGTCACTGAAGGTAATATTGGTTTTATATTGGTACCTACGGAAATTTAGGGTTGGTTACCTGATGAAAATGCATACGATATTGGCGTGGCTATTGGGTGATTTCTTACATGCAAGGAAGTGTATATGCTGCCTAGAAGTGTAAAAGTGTTGTTCTCGACGCCTTCACTTGATCTCTGCAGCTGATATACTGCGGAGGCAAGACTTACAAAAACTTATAACACATAACCCTCAAGCAATATATTATCTGATGGCTATGATCAAGCTTTGTTAAATCTGACTCGGCTCACAATATATTAGATGACTCTTGATAGCCGTGGTTTCATTGATACTGATTTGCAGGTGCACATCACACTTTGGTTCAGGGTAGGCAAAAGCTACATTCTACCATGGCATCTATTCGCGATACTACAGTAAAGCAAATTTTTGTCCAGGTATTGTATGAAATCTTACTTGCAAGGGCTATTGCATTCAAAGTGATGTTAATCTGCTGTGTTCAAATGTAATGGAGGATGTGGTGCGCATTAGTGACACCTGAATTCAGAATTGAGATGGTGAATGTATGTATTGCGTGTGACCAATATCAACCACGTCGTGGCGATCACAGTATCGTTGACTTCCAATACTATAGTAAATCCTATACCTCGATCTCAATGCGCTGGCCTGTAGTTCACAACTCACAACATGGAAAGCCCTGGGGTGTTGCGTTGTTGCTAGAGTTCAGACTAAAGGCGACAAATCATCACTGTGATGGCATATGTTGATATGCAGAGTAACCTCGTATTGATGACTGAAAGTACGCATGGGCAAAGCCTCTTGGGCTTATTGGAACCTACACTTGATGCAAGCGATTAAGTCAGCAAATCCACTGTGTTTCTTCGCCTGTAGGGCTTGGCACACTTGGGAGAACAAGCTTGTTTGCCTGATATCGAAGTTAGAGTCGATATCCGTTGCTACGGAGAAACCTTGACGTCAACGCAATTGTAAGAACCAAGCCCGTCATTGCAGGGCTGAGCATCAACATAACAAGGATCAGGGTCCAAGTCATAGCCGAGAAATTGAGGAACGGAAAGCTGCCGCTTCAAGGCACGCGACCGGCATGGTGCAGCGACAGCGCGTTGACGACGAGACAAGTGCGCCATCCCCCCGGCTCGAGCCAACGGGTACACCAAATGAGGATGGAATCCTTTTGCGTTGGCGTCGTACAGCGTGGCCACGTCAACATTTGACCTGCTGAAGGAAATGGTAGCAATGATTGGACGCAGTGTAAACAACGCAGCGGTGTGAGGATGGATTACGCTGACAGGAATAGAAACAAAATCAAGGCATCGGAAGAGCCTATACAGAGTTATGCACCATAAGTGCGTACAGTAGCACATGGCACCCACGGCACCCACGCGGTTATCCAAGCGAATCCGGGGCGGGTTGCCGATCAGCGCTGACATCCAGGCTCCAGGCTCTAGGCTTCATAACGACCGGGCCTTATTTTTCCAGCTTCAGGGAATGGCGTACCCCAGCCAAGTGTTAAACGATCGTTGAGTTGACCGGGATTGCCGTTGTGGCAGAGTTTCAGTTCAGCGGAGACAAAGGTATACAAGAGCACAAAATAAAAAGAGTACAATGCTTTCATAGGGAATAAAGAACAAAGCAGCCTCACAAGGCATTATTGTTGGGAGAGATGCAGCTGATGCTACCCATTGCGCGTAATACTCGGTGTTTGGGGGCTGTGACTAACACAAAGCTGCGCTTGAGACTTGAGAGAAACGCAGTTAGATAGAAAATTAGGCTCAGCTAACTTTTCTCATTGCAGTAGCGCTTCAATGTGGCACTTTCCGCTTTCACGGAAGAATGATCGACAGTCTTCAATGTTCTTTTGCGCAACTTGGCGCTGCTGTCTTGGTGATGTGTCTCAGCGGTGTTGGTTGGTGTTGGGGGCACCAATTAAGGTATGGCGCCAGGCACAACCCGACGCAGGAACCGCGGGTGTGCCTGGTACCTTTTGATGGTGGCCAATCAGCCAATTGACGACCGCTGAGGGAAATTATGCAAATTTTACTTTTTGCGCTGTTGTGAAAGTACAAACTTGCACGACCAACGACCAGCGAGTCACGACACTTGAAATGAGGGTCATTGGGCTGATTAGATTGGACAGTGACTTACAGACAACCAATTATCACACAAATCCCCTCTAAAACGCCTTATTCAACTACCCGTCTCCTCAACCGCTCAGGGCCGTCCACACGAGTAGCGGCAATGAGCGCCACCTTTCTCCAGAAATTATTCATGACTTTTTAAGGCAGAGCGTCTTTTTCTCTTTAATTCCCTCATCTCTCAGCCATTGATTGAGTGGGCTGCACAATGATTTCATCGCCACTCAACGCATCCTCGTCGCTTGTCTCTGCTGGTAGCCAACGGGAACAATCCCTATAATGCAGAGTTTTCTTCCCATCCATCACACGGGAGACTAGGGTCACAGATCCCCGGTGAAACCCTCTTTGTGCCTCCAGAGTATCAAATTCTGCCGCACAAAGCGTTAGAGAGCCGAGAGCCTGGAAGAAAGCCATGACAAGGGATTCGAATAAAGGGTCTAATAAGAAGACATGGCCTAGGCCCAAGTTTCAGCAACCAGATATTGACAGGCCTGCTCGGTCAGACTACCTGAAGCTGTCAAGCAAATGCGCTGTAATTTCCCTTGAGGAGCATGACAGGCCTGGACAGGTCACAAGTACTTGAGACATGACCGACGAATAGGGGTCTGTCCGTGTTACATGTACCAGTTTAATGGGCTCGGGCCTAGTCCGCCCCTCCCATCCCACCATCACCAAACGTCGCCTGCGCTCTGGCTCTGGCTCTGGCATTGCCAGGCCTTGGTCTTGGCCTAGAGTCAGGGTGCGTGCTAGTGTGGCCTGCAGAAGCTGAGGTTGCTGTTTCTCTGTGTTGTTTGCTTTTGCTCTCAGGTTCCTCGTAGTATTTCATATGGATCCTCCCCCCCCCGACTTTTGACAGGCCACCCTTCTACGCTTCGAAACAAACTTGTTCTCGGTCCACAGACTTCGTTGGCAGAGTCTATCTCGCTCGTACATTTCTTCGTTGAATACATACATAGGTTACTTTACTTATTAGCTTGTGCTTCTCGCTATCTGGATACAGAGCATCGATCTGTTCTCGCTTCCAACTCGCTCACTCACTTACACCAACCGCAAACGCTTTGAAAGCACTCACTTACACAACAACACCAACACAATGCATTTCTCCAAGCTTATCCTGGCTGTTCTGCCTGCCCTCGCTCTCGCTGACGAGGGTACCACCACCCACACGTCCACCGCCGTCGTTACCAAGACCTACTACCTCTCTCAGGTTCACACCATCACCGCCACTGGTGTGAGCACCACTGCTGTTGAGACTTCCGTCGAGGTTACTTCCACAGCTCTCGTTGAGGAGACCACCACCTACTGGCCTGTTTCTCACAACAACACCACTCCTGTCTCTACCGCTAAGGCCTCTAACACAGCCGGCACCACTGGTGGTTCATCCGAGCCCTCCGAGGTTCCTGGCAACGCTGGATCTGCTGTCGCCATCGGCAAGTTCGCTGTGGTCGGTGTTGCTGGTATGGTTGCCGCTGCTCTTCTGTAAGCGCGTTCTGGATGGAATGAGTTTCCTTTGGAATCTCACTACTGTCGACTTGCAACAAAGTTGACAACAAACATTGTCTTCCGTTTCTTGTCCATTCACCCTTTATACCCTGGCCACCAGCGCGGCCTATTCTTTATGATGAAACGCCACGATACCAACAGCAGGTTGACACTTGTCACCTGCTTCACCCTTGATGAGTCTTGAGACTCTGCCTCCCGGATAGCTTGACTGCTTCCTTACGCTTCATCACGCCCGCTCCATTGACAAAACATGTGGGCTTTCAACTCTTGCTGTTTCTTTCTTCCCCAGCAGCATGTACCCAGCGCGTTGACTGCGCTGCGTATGGCTTAGCCTTCGAGTTGTCGCTTTTGTTGAAGGGTAGCCTTTGATGTTGCCAAGCTTGTTCACCTTCACCACACATATCACAGTTCCACTTTTCCTCACTTGAGGATATCCCTCCCAGGCTTGGTAATCACTCAATGGCTTTGAGATCATATCCCCTTCCTACCAGACAGCTGGTACATACTCCTAGCTGGAGACCCTTTTTACCACATTTATTCAGTCAACATCTCTTCACTCGACTCTGCTGCCTTGTAGAGAGTCGTTTCCAAAGAGACGGGGACGACGTCGGCGACGTGGAAAATAATCCATATTCACTTCAGTAACTCTGCTTCTCGGATGAACTGGTTTTACTATACTTCTCTTTTGGCGATACCCCCTTTTTACGACGGCGCAGGTGATCCAGGATCTAGCTCTGCTTGATCTTTGGAGGATGGTTTGCTGCTTGGAGTATGGCTTTGATTTAATTCGGAAGGGGTGGGATACGATTTACATGAATAAGGAGGATTGGTGATTTTTTGAGTGTCCGACACCGGACCAACGATGATGAGCCATGATGGATGGCTAGTAGATAGTATGAGAGCAATAGACTTTGTCATGCTCAATGATGTTTGGACCTTGCGTGAAAGTGAAAATGAGAGACGAGTCGTTGCCAACTCGGCATGGCGTGGAATTCAACGTCCGGTGACTAACCTGAACAAGCATGAAAGGACCCTTGCTCTAGAAAACAATTCTAGCCAGAGTTCTCTGTCTCTGTCCGTTAAGTGTTACTGTATAAGTTGGCTCAAAAGTATATATATAGATGAGACTATAACCCCAGATAACTGGTCTTTAATCATAGTGAAGTCAATGATTCTACAGACCTCAAAGGTTCTAACCGATGATTTATTCCATTCTTCTGTCTCCGCGGTATCGCGGTATTCGTGACGGGAAAAGGAAATGGAGCTGAATAAGGATAATGCGATGTTCTTTCATTGGCTCATCACTCGGATGCGGCCCGGGATGTGCGGGTCTCATCGGCCTTTGCCCCCGAGTCTAGGAATTTGAGTTCTTTGAAGCTGCCGCCATTTTCGAGTCTGCTTCCCCATATCTCCACGAACGCCCAACGGCCTTCTAATTTCTCGCTATCTTGTTTTCTCGGAGAGATAGAAGCCGTTGTTTCTTTGTATTATTATAATGGCGTCTCTTGCTCCATCCCTCAAGCGGGCACATGCCCCTCTTCGCAAGGCGCTGAGCGCTACGCCTACACTTAGAACTTTCGCCACTGTACCTCCGAGTGGCAGCGAGCCCGGTAAACCTCGACGAAAGAGTTACTTCAAGGACACAACAGTCTCAGACTTCTCCGATTTCCTTGGGACATCGTCTCCAGCCCAGCCACTGTCTCCAGCAGAGGCTTACTCTTTGAAGACCGCCGAAGTCGGCCCCGAGGGCAAGAAGCGAACCATCACACGACTGCCAGAATGGCTAAAGACACCGATCCCCGCCGGTAACGAAAACTTCAAGAGCATTAAGAAGGACCTACGAGGATTGGGATTACACACCGTCTGCGAGGAGGCTCGATGTCCCAACATTTCAGAATGTTGGGGCGGTTCAGATAAGAATGCTGCGACAGCTACTATTATGCTTATGGGAGACACATGCACCAGAGGATGCCGTTTCTGCAGTGTAAAGACAAATCGCAACCCTGCCGCATTGGATCCCCACGAGCCCGAGAACACCGCAGAGGCCCTGGCCAGGTGGGGTCTTGGCTATGTCGTGCTGACCAGCGTGGACCGTGACGATCTGGCAGACGGTGGTGCGAGACATTTTGCCGAGACAATCCGAAGAATTAAGCAGAAGAAGCCTTCGTTGCTCGTTGAAGCTTTGACTGGCGATTTCCGTGGAGACTTGGATATGGTCAAGGTTGTGGCTGAGAGTGGACTGGACGTTTATGCGCATAATGTTGAGACCGTTGAGGACCTCACTCCCTATGTGCGAGACCGCAGAGCTACTTTCAGACAGAGCTTGTCTGTGTTGAAGCATGTCAAGGACGTTATGGGCAAGGACGGTCCTATCACTAAGACCAGTCTGATGCTTGGTCTTGGTGAGCAGGAGCATGAGATCATGGCTGCGCTAGAGGGTAAGACATCATTTTTAAATAATGTTATGCAACTCAGCTAACAGTGATTAGAACTTCGAAAGGCCGACGTTGATGTCGTCACATTCGGTCAGTACATGCGACCCACCAAGCGTCATCTGAAGGTCGAGAAGTACGTGACCCCTGATGAGTTTGAGATGTGGCGCAAGCGAGCTCTGGACATGGGTTTCCTGTATTGTGCCAGTGGTCCTCTCGTGCGTTCTTCATACAAGGCCGGTGAAGCCTTCATTGAGAACGTCTTGCGTAAGCGCTCCGGCGAGAAGGCTATGGCCAGTGGAAACCTTGGCCAAGCCGTTGCTCTCGACTCAACCCAGTCGACGATCTAAATAGATCACTGTACTCCTACTTTCACCTCGACCACACTACACTACATAATCATGGGCTATGACCGTATCGGAAGGCGTTTTGGGATAGGGTCAGATATTCAACTAGAAAAGCATGGCCTTCAACAAGGCTGCTGCGACCTTGTCGCACACTCATATACAATTCAATCACTCACCCCTAGCGGGCTGTACATCAACCATCTGCGCGTTAACGTGGTAACTGTTCAGATATTCTCCTTGTCGTGTAACTGAGCTCTGAATAAGTTCGTCCATTATAGGAACGGCGTCACTCACATGGATGATAGCCAGCCAGACTCAGAGCCTATCGGATATCGTTCTGTGGCAATACTCAAGTATACGTCTTTGGCAATATTCTCTATAGTCTAATGGAGGGTAACATTGGTCGCGGTGGCTCTTGTAATGAACTGGCACTGTCTGGAGGGGTTTTCATCTCTTGTGTAGGTGAAGTTGGAGGTAATGAATCACTGCCCTACATTAGACTTGTTCCACTACAGATGATTAGTATCTTGTGATCACGTCAGCCTCTGTATTTTGGATCAGACTTGGGATGATAAATTTGGTTGCCGTGGAGAAGGCGCAGTCGTGATCTTGAACACATGCAAAGCAAGAGCAGAGCGACAGACAACAAGCTCTTTCCCGTTTCTTGATCAAAGAGGTGCTTGACTGTAACTTCTTGATCAAATCTACCTCTACTTACCTATCTTCTTGACCTTCTTGGTTGACTCTGATTTTCTTGATCAACTTACACATTTCCGACTTGAGCTATATATTCACACTCGCGCTCTTGTAAGGTTCTTCATTATGAAGTTCCTTCTCCTTCTCCTATGTACCTTTTTGGGTAGTGCCAACGCGAGGTACTGGCTTGAGGAGATCGAGCACCGTGGGAGTGCTCCCTATTATCCTGACAAGCTGTACCCTGTGTTTCGCAACGTGAAAGACTTTGGTGCTATTGGCGATGGAGGTTCGTACTTCACTCGGAGACAGTTCACAGCTAACAAAACAGTTGCGGACGACACGGCCGCTATCAATGCAGCTATCAGTGAAGGTGTTCGATGTGTTCCTGGTATGTGCAAAGGAAGCACTATTTCACCCGCGACTGTCTATATCCCACCTGGGTAAGTGTCCAGAATAACATCGCTAATCCAGTATTGCTAACAGAGAAAGAACGTATCTCATCAGCAACTCCCTCATTGATTTGTATTATACGCAAATTATCGGTGACCCCACAAACCGACCTGTCATCAAAGCATCCACCTCCTTTTCAAAGGAAAGCTTCGGTCTAATCGACGGGAACCCCTATCTGTCTACTGGTTCCCTTGCATGGAACTCGACAAACGTCTTTTTTCGTCAAATTCGTAATCTGGTTTTGGATACGACTGCTCTTCCCCCAGATTTCCCTGCCGTGGGTATACACTGGCCGTCATCTCAAGCAACAGCTATCACCAACTGTGTATTCCAACTGTCGACTGTTCCAGGCAATAAACACACAGGTCTCCTCATTGAAGAAGGCTCAGGAGGACTTC